ATTATAGATATAGAATATATTATAGTATATTTCGTGATTCCATGGGCAAGAGTATAAGACATACCGGAGCAGACAGAATCTGGAGCAGTTGCACATGGCAACTGCTGGGAGGTATGGATTTTTGGCAGAAGAGACATGTGAATTGAGAACAATCCTGCACTAAAATTAAGAGGCGGGGGGAATTCCTCTTTGAAGAGGAACTCCGGGAAAGTAAAAAGTTAGCCCTTGCAGTGGCGCTACCCCTGCACTGCGAGTGTTAACTGCTCGTTTTTCTTTAGGGGGTTCAAATATATAGAAATATACTCACCTGATTCTCTGTCCTGCCTGGCTTCTAGACCGGTCCCTGCAGGCTTTCCCCTCCCACCAGGCCAGTCTCAGCCCCGCTGACATCATCATGTATAATGCAGATCCATTCACCTGTATTAGGCCCCGTTCACACTGAGCGATTTATCGCGCGGTAATTCCCGCGATATTGCGGCTATTTACCGCGCGATATCGCTCTCCAATGCTTGGCAATGGGGCAAAGGGTCCTGCTGTCGCGGGTCGTGCGTCGCTACAGCAGGACCCTTTTTGGAGCGGATTTTGCCGCGATTCTAGCTTGCTCAATGCAAGCATTTGCGCGATGTCGCGCAAAATGCGAATCGCGCGACAATCGCGCGATTTGCGAATCGCGCAGTGTGAATGGGGCCTTAGACGTGAGGACCTTGAGGGACATAACATAGCCAGAGCAGAGGGGGAGAGAGGTAAGCGCTCTCAAGACTGAAAATCAGGTGAGTAGATTTTTTTTCTGGCCCCTAGAGGAAAAACGAGCAGTTAATCCTTGTAGTGCAGGGGTATCCCCACTGCAAGGGTTAATTTTTGTTTTTTTTGCATACCAGGAGTTCTTTCATCATCTAAATAGCTGGATGACACCCAGGCACCTATTATCTTTAGGACATCTGGACAACTGTAACTTTAATGTTTATCTCAGTTTTCTTTAACCCTTTTACCGCTGCTAACAAAGAATGGCAGAGCAGTATCAGGAAGTAAACAAACACACATCTGAGGTATGTTTACTGCTATAGAGCCGGTCTCTGGATCTACAATAGCAGTTTGTGCCACCTTTTAGGATGGAGAGTGGAGGAGAGATGGGAAACATCCATTTCCCGATCTCCGCTAGGAGCAATGAATCCGGAAAGTGCTGAGCTCTTCCGGGTTCACACCGGTCATATCATGGCTGGTGCAGCCTAGAAAACAACCAATAGAGTGCTTTCTGTAGTCGATCTGGTTGGGGGAAGTGTAGAGGGGGCTTTGGGGTCCAAGAGAACTCTGATACCTCTGTAAAGAGGACCTGTCACTACCTAAATACTATCACAGGCTTGTCAGCTGTTCGGTGCTAACAAAATAGTTAAGTGGAAATAAAGAAAAAAGAGTTTAAAATAAAATATATTGTTTTGGAGATTGTATGGTGTTTTTTGTACACTATTACTAATTTGAGTTTAGTTTTCACTGAAAATAACGGTTTTGATAAAAAGCTGCACTAATATTGTGCATTTTTATATCGACATAAACAAAATTGCTGCTGACCTCATTTGATTATGTAGGTTCTGTGCTGTCAGAAAATATATGTGTTGAGGTTTTGTGTACAAAATGTGAATTTTAGCATGTGGAAGCAAAAACGGAAAAGAATCTCCGGCAGCGAAAGGGTTACATTTGTTATTGCTCAGCTGCTGCCCTCCAGTGTTCACGTTCCATAATGACACTCCACTGTAACCATATTGCGTGACCGGATCAGCCAATCAGAGGCGCCGGCTACATGCGCATCACGGGACTGCGAGCTAGCCAGGAAGAGGCGGCTCCGGTATGGAATTGATCTCGGTGTTCGTTCCTCACTGACGGCCTAATGAAGGGTGGGGAGCCGTGACGTTGTTCCGTTTACGCCTGTCCACGGCCCCTCCTTGTTTGTGCAGCTGTGTCCGGGGCAGGGACCCACAGCTGACATTAGGGACAGGAGGAGGTGGCGGCGGATGAGGCCAGCAGTGTTAGGAGGCAATGTGAACACCAAGCAAGGTAACGGTGATGACGTAGTGACACGAGCGCTGAACGGGGTGGTCACATGACTAGAGCTCCCAGTTGTGATAAGTACAGCAGGGTTGTAGACAGACAGAGACACAGCACATTGTTTATAAACAAGGAACACCAGGGACAGTAGATGGTCAGCTGATCATCATCACAGTAATCATAGAATTATTATATCGCATAGTAATAGCAATCAATTCAGCCTACATCTCCGTAATACACACGCAAGGGAGCATTCCATTACATTGATCTGTTTCTGCAAGAGTGCTTATGTCAGTAAATGCCATGTCCATATCATTTATATGGATTTCAAGTGGGAGCGCCTGAAAATGTGCGTGTTTCTGACGCTTCTATTAAAGTCTACGAGGCCAATATGCACAATTCTGCCCCAAAAGAAGCTTTTTCAAGCTTCTGGTGACAAGTGGCTTAACGCTCTAGTGTGAACGGTGGCCACTGAAAACAATGGGGTTCGTCTTGTTGCGTGTTGTCGCACTTAGGGAAAGGAGCTTCGAAATGCTTAGCTGTGAATTGGGCCTCAGGTGCTCTCATTGAAAACAATGGTGCCTAAAATGCACAAGGGCATATTGGGCATTGTCTTGCTTGGGCGCAAACGGTTTTAAGCTCTTATGGGTAGGGCCCTCATTACCATCTTGTCTTGATTTGTATTGTAACTTATATTGTAAAGCACTGTGCAGCTAATGAGCGAAACGCACTTTCACTATCGATTCCTCACAGGCAGAGTACATTTGGTATCACTCCACCTGTGACAGGAGTCGGCGCTATAGAAGAAGCATCGCCTTATGCAGTACTGCTCCCTCCGCTGCCGCCTCACTTCTCCTAGCGCTGGCTTCATTGGCACCACTGATTATATATATATAACAATAATAATAACACAGCAAAAACAGGTGTGAATTGGAGCTTAGAAATATTTGTGTAAAAAATCAGTGATTATGATGAACTGTATTAGATTTTCTGTAATTGCAATCCTGTCATATTGTCCCTAGAAAGGACTTGGAGAATTATCTACCTGTTTCCACAGCATCGCTCCAACACTGGTCAGAAGAGCAAAGCCTCACTTTCTCATTAATTGAAACTCTGCAGATTCTTCCTCACCAGTGAGGGAGTGAAGCCGTGAAAAACAGGTGTGTATTTCCCTGCCTTGTATTGTAGTCCTGTCGCTGACATGGGCCTAAGGGCTGTACTCGATACAGCAGCAGGTTAGCTGCTATTTCATTATAATAGCACAATGTGAAGTTGGATATATTAGGGAGGAATTTGAAAAAAATTGTCTGAGACAAAAAGAAAGAAGCTGAGTAGGGCTGCAACAACTAATCGATTAAATCGATAATAATTGATTATGAGAATAGTTGGCAACTATTCTCGTTATCGGTTAGTTGGGGTGGGGGATTGTTTTTAATGCAACCAATCTATTATTTGAAAAAATTATTGGGCAACTTATCTTGCTAGACACTTTTTTTTTTTTATAAAATCTCCCCCATCGTGGGGCATTAGGGTAGCAGATTGTGCACCAAATTCTTACAATGTGTATCACAGTAAAAATTGCTGCAATTCATACTATAAGGCCCCATTCACACTTTGCCACATATGTGAGTGCGTGACAAAGAGTGTGCATTGATGCACGTTAACGCAATGCAGAACAAAGCATGCCAGGCTTCTCTTCCCTTCACCTTTCCTTGCCAACACTGTATTGGACGTGATGGCTCGCATGTTCTTAGACTGCTGAGTGGAGGGAAGGGACCTGTCTAGCAGCCAGGCAGGATCGGGGTTTGGGTGAGTATATCTTTGTTATTTTAGACCCCAGACAAAAAATGAGCACTTACTCCTTGCAATGTGGGGGGTAGCCCCACTGCAAGGGTTAAGTTTTCTTCTGCCTCGAGTTCTTCTTTAACATTCAATTTGGAACTAATGGAGTTTCCGGAACGAAACCAACTTCACTGTTCCAAGTTTGTCCATTGAAGAAAAATTTGTATTCTGCTCCTTTTGATTTCCATCTCTATAGTCGAAAACAATTGTTGATTTGATCAAATTAGAGTGACATTAAATACAGGCCTTATTTACACATAGGCAGCAGCGTTTGTGCGCATATTATTGAGCATCTAAATGTACAAGTAGTCATCTGCACACCAGGTCCAACATGTCCAAACGTAAAAGTAACTCATGTACTTTTTCCAGTGACAGACATTTTTCTGCAGGTGACAAAACACTCAGGTATGAACAGGGGCTCTAGAAAACAATGGACTTCCATGTGTTGAGCATTTTGTAGCTCCAAGATTTGCGCTACAAAACACCTCGGTGTGATCAGGGACTAAGCTCGGACCTCTTCTGACTTTATGGCTTATCTGCCATTCCATTGTCCTATGAGGCTGACCGAGTGGTCAGTAGGCCTTCTAGCACTGCACAGAAGCATGGCTGTTGTGGAAGCTTATCCATGATGTCAGAAAAAGTCACGCTTCAGTAACAAGGTGAAACTAAATCAGAGAGAACCACAGAGTAAGGTTTACTTTAATATGCTGAATAGACTATAATAACCTGCAGTAGTAGTAACTGTGCTACTGCTAAATTGTTCTCAGTTGTTGCATGTTTCTGCACTTCATATAGCAAATGACATAATTGTCACTTATAAGTACAAAACCCACCATACGTTATTGATTAGTAGGTCTGTCAATTCCACAGTATCCGGAAAAATAAATGTCCAGGGTATGAAAATCCTATACAGCATCTGTATTTCTGTGAATGTTTGTTTACTTGATATTGATTATATAAGGGATAATATTAGTAATATTTTTTTTTCTCTTGACAGGTCTGCCAATAACAGTCTTCAAAAACTGTCTGAATGGGCAGCAATAAACTGCCTTGTTGTCACTTCCGTGCACTGACAGTGCTACGCCTATCTTATTTAATAGCTATTGGTAGTGAAAATGTGCGGTCACACTATGCTGCTGGTTTGTTGAACTACTCGGATGCTAATTAATAAGACTGGACTTGAAAGCTTTTAAGTTTGTCATGGATCAAGCCATGATGGATAACCCAGTGACCTTGGTGATTAAAGCTCCAAATCAGAAATATGATGACCAAACCATTAAATGTTTCCTAGACTGGACAGTAGAGAAGCTAAAAACACACCTGTCAAAGGTTTATCCCAGCAAACCGGTGAGTAGTGAGCAGAGCCTTCAAAGGTCATGACTGTGATATAATAGTTACTACAAAGTAGAATTAAAGCTTGTTTATGCAGGTACGGTCATAGTGTACAATCAGTCCCCGGAGCTTTTAGTGGATGGCAAACTGTATATTTTGGCTGGACACAGATGGGGGAATGGGGTAATGTTCATTAAATGTGCTAAAGGAAAATGAAAGACGATTGATTTTTAAAGGCTCAGTCCACTTGGAACTGTTTTTTTGTTTTTTGTTGGGCAAGTGTAGAAGAGGCAAACTACCAGGTTTCCTATATCTCACAGAAACTCCATTGTTGAGATCACCACACTTGATTCCTGGGTCTGCACACCTCCGTTGGCCCTTATGAGAGGTTCCCTCTCTTCTTCATGAGTGTTTATTTATAGTATGAGGTAGTCAGTAGGAGCTTCTGGAAGACAAAGTGGGCGAGATCTTGCTGTTGAGATATCCAAGACATAATAAGCTGAACCTTTAAAATGCAATTTTAAAATACAAGACCTAAGATGTTTCTAAGTTAAAAGAGAACTCCTAGAACGCCTCATCTACAGCGCCTAAGTCGCCACCTCGCTGATCACAACCTTCTTGACCCCTTACAATCTGGCTTTCGCCCCCTACACTCCACTGAAACCGCCCTCCTAAAACTCACTAATGACCTACTCACTGCTAAAAGCAAAGACCACTATTCCCTACTCTTGCTATTCGATCTTTCTGCTGCTTTTGACATTGTTGACCACCTGCTCCTCCTCAAAAAACTCCAGTCACTTGGGCTACAAGACTCTGCTCTTTCATGGTTCTCCTCCTACTTATCTAAGCGCTCCTTTAGTGTCACCTACAATTCTAACTCCTCCCCTCATCTTCCTCTTTCTGTAGGGGTCCCCCATGGCTCTGTCCTTGGACCCCTTCTCTTCTCTATCTACACCACCTCCCTTGGTCAACTAATGACCTCACATGGCTTCCAATACCATCTCTATGCCGATGACAATCTATCTCTCTACTCCACAAACTCACCCCCTCGTCCCCTGACCCAAAGCTCAGTATATCGCAAGCTACAGCTCGTGATATACTGAGACCGCCGCAGCCGGGATGGATCCCATCATGTCTAGATCCACCCAGCTTTGTAAATGACAGCTGGCTCTTCCTATCTAGAGGCAGAGCCAGCAGCTTTACCCACCCCCTCCCATGTCCCTTCCTCCAGTCAGTGGTGGAGGATCGGAGCGGGGAGGGGGGAAATCCCTGCAGGGAGCTGTGACTGACAGTCACTGCTCTCTGCAGGGAGATGATCGAGAAGTGAGCGAGCGACGGTATGCATTCGCTCACTTTCCGATCTATTGAGCCGACGTGCGACAGTTTCATTGTCACACGTCGGCTCGAACTATGAGGATGAATGATTTTCACTCGCCTCATAGTTCTCCTTTAATAATACTGCTGTGGTACCTACAATTACCTTTTTTAGCCTTTTACAGTGAACATGTTCTTGTATAGACCATGAATCCTAGACTCAAGTTGTGCTGGGATTTTTGCCAAGTCACAGTTAAAGTGAACCTGTACTCCATTTCAAACCTTTAGAATTATATTTCATGTCTAAAAGCAGGTATGGCAACATTAGCAAGAAAAGCCTCTTTGGTATTTTGTTCTGATTTAGTTAGACTTTGTAAATGGGGCCTAATGTTTCCTGACAACATGGCTAAGCCTGCCAATTGCCATTCCACTGTCAGAGAAATGTAAAAGAATGACAGCAGAAAAAGACCAAGTTGTCTATTTAGTCTGCCTACTCTTGTGGTCCATCAAATTTGCCTTCATTGAGACTGCCTCAGAGAGTGTCAAGCCTTAGGAATCGGTCCAGATATAATTATTTTTTTCACAATAAAAGTCTATCAAGAGTTGACCGCCAATTTGTTTTGGGGCCCCTCTTTCATCAGGGCTTAGGTTTATTGTGCAGGAGGAATTTGGACATGTAGGTATTTCTTGGGTTTACTTCTTTACAAACCAAAAGTGCTGCACGTAAGAGTTTGTTCACAACATGCCTGTTAAGCTGCGTTTTTCTATACACCACAGCACATGTATGGTGTGAACAGGGCACATATAAAAATGATTGTTATAATATATTTTGCAGAGCACCTCAGGGCAATAGTGTGACCTTGCCCTGCTTCAATAATGAACTTTTTCTGGTCTGTGACTTGGGATGGCAATGTTACAAAAGGCCTAAGGGCTCATTTACACCCGGCACGTTGAGCTGGGTTTACCAACACAGGCTAAGTGCAAGGACACATAGAAAACAATTGTTCTCTATGTGCCTTGTTTACAGCATACATGTGCATTGGTGTGTGCTGCATTTTTATGCAGTGCAATGCACAAAACCACGTGTGAACGCATCACAACACACTGTGATGCATAGCATTGAATTAAGTGTCCTCTTGTGACATTTCAATTAATTGAAAAAAGTAAACCCTGTGTTGCGTTGTAACAATGCATCATGAGGCCCGTACGCAATGCACACCAGCTTGTCAGATATGGACCATAGTGGGTGCCTGCTGGTGTGAATGCCCCCTAAAATCACAACTGGGTTAAATGGTAGACAAAAATAATATACTATAGGGTTTTGCCATAAAGCCATTCATTTATTTTTCTTTTGCTTATAAAGGTCCTTTATCTTTTTCTTAGTTATCCAAGGATCAGAGGCTTGTATATTCTGGTAAACTCCTCCTCGATCACCTGCAGCTGAAAGATGTTCTCAGGAAAGTAAGTATATGCTAAGTGTGAAATTATTGCACACTGTTTTCATTACTGTCATGGGATGCGCCCCCTGTGTATGGAAGACTGCAGGAGAATTGTGTTGGTCAAAGTGGTTGGACAGAATTTTTTTCTTTTTTTGAAAGTCTTGAGAGTCGTTTAGCAAACATTTGAGCAGAAATAACTCGGTGCTCCTGATTAATGTGCTCTAGGTTGTAATGGGGGGGGGCATTAATATCTTGGCTTGGGAAAAGGATTTTTCCGCAGCTAAGCTAGTTTTTTTTTGGGGGGCGGGGGGAATTGCAATTTTTATTGCTGACATGGAACGCAATGGCTGCAAGCATATATTCTATGGCTTTCCTTCCAGAATCATTGTCTGACATACCTGAAGCTTTAGCGGTCTCTGAGCTTTCCGCTATGGAGGCTCTGTCTGATGAAGAGTCTCACAAATTTTGGATTATTTTCTTTCTCCGTAGCCACAGGTAGCTGCCATACTTCCCAGACTTAAAGATACCATATTGGTTCTTATTTACGTAGTGTGTTCTACTCTAAAAATAGTACAACAGCCTGCAATGTTTACTAGTCTGTAATTACAGAGAGCCTCCAAGGCTATCAAAACTTTTCTTTTGAAGGTATTGTGTACAGACACTGGAAAACTACTGATATGCTATTCACTCCTCCCAAATGTTTTACAGACCAATACCCATTTAAGGAGGTTTTCATCATGAAGTGGGCTGTTCCCACTGTGGATCCAGTGATATCCTGCCTTAATAAAACACATACCATACCTGTTGAGGGTCCACAGGTGTTTAATGATCCCACTGACAATGTTTTCTCTAGCAGGCCGTGCATTGCAACCTGCCATAGCTGCGATGTCAGTCTGTCAAAACCTAGGGGCATGAACTAAATATGTCAAAGAATGCAGCTGCTTCTTTACTGACCCTTTGTTTGTAGAGCACTTACAACCTTTGCCTTGAGCCCCACACTATTGCGTAGACGGGTTAGTTTATCAACTAACCTGTCTACACAATACTGTAGGGCTGTTAGTCTTATTTCCCGAATGAGTCTCCTGTTTGTAGATATGCAATTAACTCTTTGGCTAAAATATTTGTCTGCGAGACAGCAATGTAAAAACCACTTGCCACGCGTGCTTTTTAATGGTGAACGTCTCTTTGATGCTTTATGGACACTCATAAATCTCCTAAACCTACAGACAACTCCTCTTTGGCATCAATGGAAGCCCTCACTTTTTCGAGAGGGGATATGTTTTGTTGGCCTTTGTGGACACCTGGTCAGCAAGCATCTCAAATGCCTAGGTAAGAGACCTGGTTTCCAGGAGCTACAAGCTAGAGTCCTGCTCTTTGTCCCCTCTCTCTTTCATATTGTCCAACTTGTCTGTGTCTCTGCACAAACTAGCAGAAGTTAATGCTGCTCTTGCAGATTTTTTTGACCCAAATACATATTGCCATTGTTTTGATGGCAGAAAGGTTTCAGAGTATTTACTCTAACCTTTTCACTGTTCCAAAACCAAAAGGGGGCACCTGCCCCATCGTGGATCTGAAGGCTTTGTTACTTTGGTGTCAAAAATTTTGCATGAAAATTACCAAGTCAGTGATAGCCTCCCTCCATCAGGTAGACTTCTTAGCCTCTGTTGAAATCAAGGATGCATACTTGCATGTCCCCATCTTTTTAGCAAATCAACGCTAATTTCGTTTTGCTGTCAGCGCTCAACACTATCAGTTTGTTGCCTTACCGTTTGGTTAGTCTTCTGTATCCTGAGGTTTTGACTGCTGTGCTAGCATTACTCTTTTGCCAAGGTATTCCCATTGTGGTATACCTGAATGATCTCCTACTGAGGTAACAGTCATCATAAATTCTGACCAATAGTCTTGCTGTGGCAAGAGAAGTTGAAATGGAGACAAACCTGGGCTGTAGGTTGAAATAGAAACAAACCTGGGCTGTAGGTTGAAATAGAAACAAACCTGGGCTGTAGGTTGAAATGGAAACAAACCTGGGCAAAGCTGAAATTTGCACAGGGTTTATTATCGGTAATATCGGTCACTTACCGATAAATAATCTGTGAATATCGGTCCCGATTATCGATGGGTCCGATAATCGGTCCAACCAAAATAAATATATATTATGAAGTTTATTAGATACTGTAAGAATTGATATGTGAGGGTATGACACAGATAATCCTATTAGAAGTCTTCTGAGAAGGAAAGGATTATCTTTAGGTAATCTGGACCTGAATAAAAGATTGACTGCTAAGGCTCTTCCTTGTGGTTTGTCACTTCTGTGTAAATTGAGGTCATATGTATATTAGAAACTACTGGAAATAAATGATTTGCAGATTAAAAACATAAAAAAATTGCTATATAATGCAGATGTATTAATTAAACCCCAAGTGAAGTCACAGAAATAGATATGCAGTTAGATATACTGTACATTGTAGTTAAAACCTTCATTTTAAGTCTTATCTTCTTTTTATGGCAAATAGTGATCTAAATATGACCGGAGTTTGACTGCTGCCTAGTGCACTCTAATATAACAGACCTGGACAGATGTGTCACATGCAAAGGTGCATCTACTAAATATTGACTTAAAAGGGGATGCATGGAGTTATTTTATGCTTTTCATTGCAATTAATTTATAATAAACAGAGGTCTGCTTTATAGTCTGTAGAAATGTGTTCAAAAACAAAATTAAATCCACTGTGATTCTCTGTTTTATGACAATAAAACATTCCCAAGGGGTTGAATGCTTTTTCTAGACACTGTATAATAGAATCTCATTCTGAGTCAGAAATGAAAGCTGAAGCTGTAAATCACTTTGGAGCGTTTAACATTGAAAGCAGCCATGGCATAGTATAAGGTTGTTGTTTATGAATCTTCATACAAGCTGTTCTTTTGTGCTTTGTCTTATAGCAAGATGAATATCACATGGTTCATTTAGTATGTGCCTCCAGGACGCCTCCTAACTCCCCTAAACCGAGCACCAGCAGAGAAAATGCTAGAGCTGCAACCACCAGCAGTAAATCAGTAAGTACATCGCGAGTGCGCATGAATTAACAGCATCTGTGTACCTCACCTTCGTTTATTGTAACATGTCCATAAACCTGATGCATGCTTATTATATTAACTTGTATACGGTACCTCCTGAAGAATTCTGCCTGCTTTTTGTAATTCCAAAGGCCACACTTAATTGCATAACTGGCCATAATATGCTATAGCTCATGCAGCTCCCATGTTAAAAGTGCCCTACGCTGGTCCTTGGTTCAACTGTCTCCTAAGCAGAGAATGGGGTAGCTTATGGGAAGACATTGAGAAGAACAAAGGCTTCAGCATCAGTACTATTACGTGGGTCAACTCCTATTTTATTAAGGGGCTTCGCTGAACACCTACCGTATGTGTATTGAAAGGGTTGGCTTAGTACTCGCTTTTTTGGTCCAAAGTTCAGGCCCTTGTACCAAAAACATTTTTATTTTCGACTGCGCATACCTATAAAAATGATTGCATTGTACAGTTTATAAAAAATTAATTTAATTGGGGCATTTTTAGGCTGTCCATAGGCCTTAGAGGTGGTCGGTGTGCCACCAATCTGACCAGATCAGTCACCTTATGTCTGTGATATAGCGTTATCTTATTTTTTTAGGGTATTTCTTTTGTATTATTTGTATATTTTGTCATTACATACTGTACTACATGCTGTGTGTGTGCTGTGGTAGGTATTTGTCCCAGGGAGAACATTATCTGAACGTGGCATAAAGTGGAGTTATAGAGAAATATTCAAGCATGTGTTTTTGTATATCTAAAAATAGTAAATCTGAAAAGCAAAATAGAGGGCTGCCCTTAGCAATCAAGCAGGTTCCAGCTTCTGTTTTTTTAACAGCAAGTTTAAAAATGAAAGCCGATTTCTGATTATTTATTCAAGACTTTTTTTTTTTTTATCAATGATTTTTATTTGTTCATCAAGAGACATGAATACAATACAGCGTCAAGTATAAGGCACATAGTACAATCACCTTATCGATAACATTTATAATTCAACTGCTTTAAGATAATACACATTGAGGAGATCAGGCTAAACGATTCCAGCGCTCTGAGGCGCATAACAAAGAGGCAAGAGAGCCAGAGGTGAAGTACTAGAGGGGAAGAAGGGAGAGTAGAACAGGAGAAGTAGGGGGGGGGGGAGTGTGTGGCAGCGGGATGATTCCTCCAGACAAAGGCATCCTATCAGGTTGTCGTTAGACTTGTGTGGGGAATGGTCGGGTGTGCATGTACCAGCCAGGGATCCCAGACCTTCCAGAATTTATTTTGGGTATCCATTAGGATACTGGATAGCTTTTCGTTAATGAAAAATGAATCTAGTCTTCGACTAACCACGCTAAAGGGAATTTGCTGTTTCCTCCATGCCTGCGCTATTGTTTGTTTTGCAGCCAGGAATGTGAAGACCGCCAATTTATGTTGGGACTTTGTGAGGTTTGGAAGTTTAAGGTGTAACAGGGCGAACCGCGGGTCTTAGTGTACATTGGTTTGGAGGATTGTGTTTAGTAGTCTGAATGTTTTGATACAAAATCTATGTACGAACGGGCATGTGCATTACGTCATTAGGGCATTCAGGTAGGGTTTCAGGGCCTTCCTCTTCTGAAGTGTTTGTGGGGCCAGATCCGAGTATACCTGGTACTTGAAGCCCTGGAAGCTGAGGTCACGGCGTTCCCAGGCGGCCTTCAAAATGTCTTCCTTAGATCTGTAAAAGGTAGTTTTAAGGATTACATCCCGCGGAGGGCCATCTGGTCTCTTCGCGCCCAGAGAGCCCTATGGATCTGATCCATCTCGAGTCTGTCTACCGGATAGTGGGGAAGGAGCTCTTGGAACATGACTGTGGCATTTAGATCCTCCACGTGTTCGGGGATACCCAGTAAGCTGATATTACCGCGCCTGTTCTCGAGATCCTCCAGTTTGAGGAGAGTTGCAGACAGATCAGATTTGACTGAGTACAAGTCCTGTTCGCGGGATTCCACGATGGTGACCACATCGTCCATCTTGTACTCGATATCATGGATTCTGGAGCCCAGTTCCTTAATGTCCCGTGATAGCTGTGCTGCCAGTTTGTCTGTGGCAGTTCTCGGCTCCTTCTGGAGCAGGACTTTAAAGCGGTCTAGCAGGTCAGAGTCTCTACATACCATCTCCGGTTGGTGGCATGGCACCCGAGAGGAGGTACTCGCGTTTGAGGATCGGTCTGCATCCACGGCCGATTCCTGAGAGGAGGGCTGCGAGTTCGGCCCAGAGGGTGACGGTGGCATCTTGGCTGGGGTGCGTGTCAAGGCCGGTGTGTTCGCACCGCTGGAACGGTTGCGAGTGTTGTTGTTGTTCTTTTTCATTGTCAATCGCCAGCTGTTCGGGGGTTGTGCGGCTAGTTTGTTTAGTAGTGGGGCACCAGAATAGTACCTAGAGTGTGGGGTTCGAGTCTGGGTGTAGAGGATCCAAATTAGGTTGCGGCCATCTTGGTTGGCTGCTCACTTGCGCCTCCTATTCCAGACTTTTTAAATGGGCCTTTAAATTTAATTTATTACATTGCCCTAATCACCATGGAAAATCATTATTATTTGTATCCAAAGGGTGAGGACAGTATATACTGAGAGTGGGTATAATAAGAAAGTGATAGAAACTGCTCCACACTTGTACACAAACAAAATGGCAAGTCATTCACCTCCTTTTAGTAGCTATCGCATGAAAGATATTTGGGTCTCTTGTCGGGACATTTTGTAAATGTTTTCAGTGAAAAGCTTGGATAAAGTTGCTTCTGTTTGAAAAATGACCCCACATTCTTTGCTTTTATTTGTTTCAGAGCTCAGAGCACTCAGGATTGGCTTCCCCTCCATCTACAAGTCAGGAAATGCCATCAACATCATCAAACAATAGAAACGAGGAGAGCCTGAGACACCGACATGCCTCTCACACGTCCAGCAATACCATGCACGACTACTTTTCATATAACCGTCAGCAGTAAGTTAGGATTTGTGAACTGACTTGTATAACTACACTTAAACAGCTGTTGTATTTCTTGTATAGTTTAGTTTATTTTATAACCCAACCTATGTCACAGAAATACTCAATCATATAGACATTGTACTAACAGCTTTGTTTTTATGGCTTTAGCTGCACAGTGTATTTAAAGTAGTATTATACTCTCAAACTTCTTTTAATAATGAATCCAGATCTAACAATAAACATTATCCATCAAAGTATGTCTTGAAATTTTCGTATAAGCACTTAAAGTCATATTTCCAAACAGCTGGCTCCAACTCTTTCAATTCAGCTTCTCTGAACTCCCTGTCTATTACAAGATCACAAGGGACAGCACGGTCTCCAGCAGCTGTTAGTTTGCTAGCTCGGAGGAGTGGGGGAGTAAGGAGCAGAGGACTGGCTTACCTTGCTGTGCCTTACAGTCATTGTTTCTGAAACAGCTGGCTCTAACTCTCTCAGTTCAGCTTCCGTGAACTTCCTGTCTAGTGCAAGATCAGAAGGGACAGCACGGTCTCCAGCAGCTGTTCATTTACTATCTCCGAGGGGGGTGGGAGCAAGGAGCAGAGGATTGGCTTGCCTTGCTGTTCCTGTGTGTTTTGTGAACACACAACTTGCTATCACACAAAAGGGTGGTTCCACAGGACCCTATGGAAAGAAGCTACCCTGAAACAGGATATCAGGGTCTGTGCTCAGGAGACCAGCTGATTCTGCAGGAAACAAACTTTTAGGGTCTGTTCAAACCATCCAATGCGTTCAGGGTACAGTTCTGTGCCATGAATGCATTGGATCGCATAAACAAAGGCTTATTATAATAAAAAATAAAAACCCCAGTGGTGATTAAATACCACCGAAATAACGCCCTATCTGTCCCCAAAAAATGGTATAAAATTCATTTCAGTACAGCGTTGCATGACGGAATAAACGTCAGTCAAAGTATCGCAGCGCTGAACACTGAAAAATGGCCTGGCCAGGAAGGGGGTCTAAACACCTGGTCTTGAAGTGGTTAATATTAATGGCATCGCAGAAGCACCGCCCGCCCGCAGTGCAATTGTCCGCGCTGGTTTGCGTGGTACTGCAATGTCCTGCGTTCCAGTGGGGGCATTGCAGTACTATGCGTTCCGGTACAGGCAATTACACTCCAGAGTGTGTCCACGGTGCCATTGACATGACATGGCACCACCACGCCCCAGAACGTGGGAAGCCTTTGATAATGCAATCCAGTGCGTTCAAGGCACGGAGCCGTGCCCTGAACGCATAGGATAGTGTGAACAAGCCCTTGAACATGAATTGACATGAATGGCCTAAAAACCTTTTGACTTTAATATCACTAGGCTTTATTGTGTATTTCAGTAGAACACCAGTGTATACCACACTACGCAGTGAACTCCTTAGCATAAACTTGGTCAGACACAGTCCCTTTCTTTTGCCATACTACAAGCGTGCATGAGAACGCCTACACAGAGTGCTGTATTCAATTTATTCTCCCTAGCAACAAAAGTTCCATGACGAACAGTATCGTAGCTGTTGGAATTTGCTAATACAGAGTCGTGTTTTTGACATGGCCCTGAGGTTTTCTAAGCCCTGATCAAAGGGGAATGCAGAATACGTCATGCTCAGCCTTTAGCAGATTCTCTATAAGGATTGTTGGTACTAGACTGTTGTTAAATTGTCATTCTCTATGCATTTTGCTTATTATACTCCACTCTAACATGAATTCTCTTTTTTTTTTAAAAGACATGTTGGGAACCCTATTCCTGGGCAGGGAGCTCCAGCAGTATTTCCAGCATATTCAGTCTTCAGCCCTTTGCAGATGATGTGGTGGCAGCAGATGTATGCACGACAGTACTACATGCAGTAGTAAGTTTTGTTTTTTTGTTTTTCCCTCTGGAATGTTTTCACAGCAATCCGTTCTTTTTTTGTGTTCGTACAAAATTTAGAGTAAAAGGGCTTAAAGTCAATTTCCGCCTTTTGTAAGTGATTAGCGTTTATTGCGTTAATGAAGAGGTGCAGTGATGATGCATATATGTGCACATTTTCATGACATTGCAGGCTTTCTTTGTTTTTTTAAAGAAGGTTTTATTAGGCCTGAAGCCTAAAAATTACAAACATTTTGCACAGGAAAATCAGTCAAACACCAGGGTGTCAGACTGTAATCATCTGCCCCCCTCCCTGTCATCCACTGTAAAATGATCAGCAAACACTAGCTCTGTCTTTACACACAATACACTGTCCGGAGGGGGGGGGTGGGAGGTGGTCAAGATGTACACACATTTTTTGCACAGCAGAGGCAGACATTTTCATGAGGATATGAAGAGGAAAACTAACAAAAGTTAAGTTTCTGTGTTCATATACATCGGCTGCGTATGCCTGATTCATACACACTCCATGCATGTTTTTAAAAAATAGCTCTGCAAAGGTGGAACTGGGCTTTAAGATAAAAAAAAAATGCTAAACCACATTTGCAGTGGTATATACAGTACACCTAAAGCGAGGCACTACTTCATTAAAAAGAAAAACAAATGGCAAGCAGAAAGGCATTTTATTGCAGAAGAGACATTTTTACCCAAGATTCACATATTTTCCACTTAAATACAATTAAAAGGTGTGACTCTTGGGTGTCTGAAAGCATTGTCAAACATTTTGGCTAGTTCCCCATTGTACTATATTGTGCTTGGTCATTTTGAGGTGATGCTGTGGATTAAATCATATTTTGTTTGTTACATCTTTATTTGATAAACTCTTGTACAGTTTAAAAGCCAGAATAAAAGGGAGAGCTGTCTTAGCTAATAATGTGTCTGGTTTCATGCATAGGAGTATTTTTTTTTAAATATAGTGTAAGGTTATGTGTCATTGGGTATTTGTATCTTACAATATAAGGAAATGTTTATGTCAATCGTATGCCTGAAAATGTAATTTCATCGTTTTTTTATTTGTTATATTTAATCATTCACTTTATAGCCCCCATTTATTTTTCCAGTGTGAGCTTTACTTGATAACAGTTCACAGAGCAATGTGTTCAATATACGGTAATATTGTTTTCCTCTTTTTACACCCTAGTGTAGTTGGACTGCTCAAACCTAGGTGCTACGGTTGATTGCATACCATTGCTCTCTGAACTGTAGATATACGCCCAAAAATGTTCCCCTCACAAAATGTTATTTATTAAGTTAATAAGGTTATTAAAGATTAGCATTAGTGTTCTCCTATTTTTGATTTTGTAGTCAAGCTGTGGCTTCTAACCAAGGACCTGCTGCCACTCCCACCATCAATTCAGATCGACCGCCTACAAATCCCCCAAGAGCAGCACCAAACATTGCTCCAGAGGTGAATCAAAACGTCCAAATGAATGTTCAGGGTGGTGCTGTAATGAACGAAGAAGACATTAATCGTGATTGGCTTGATTGGATATACACTGTGTCCCGAGCAGCTATTCTCCTTAGCATAGTGTACTTCTATTCATCATTCAGTCGCTTTGTCATGGTCATGGGGGCTATGATTCTTGTTTACATGTAAGTATAAATAGATATCTCCCTTTTTAGTGGAGAAAAGGTCATAAAGGTTTTTAATGTGTGATTATGTTCCACGTTTCTGCTTTTACCTGTTGTACCAACTCGGAAGAGTTTAGGAGAGTCTTTGCAACATATTAGCTGTTGGGGGATGTGGGCAATCTTGCTGACTCTAGATCTCCTGCCCATCTACAGCCAGTCTCTTGACAGAAGAATATATGTATATATTGTTAACTATCATATAGCTCACAGGGGCAGGGATTAGAACCAATTTAAAAGTCCTATTTATTGACTTCTCAGTTTGTGTAGTGCAACTTGTTTATAATGCAGCCTTTGAAATGTAGATTTTAATTTGCAGGCACCAGGCTGGATGGTTTCCTTTTAGACCAGAAGAAGGTCAGCCACAAGCAAGAGACAATGCAGCAGATGTGAATGAAGATAGAGTGAACAATAACGATCTTTTGGAAATGGTGAGCACTTGCAACAATTGTATGTATAAAGCTGATTAGATGCTTGACTGACTACACTCCGCGTGGGGCGGAAGAGAGGCGTCAAATAGCTTAATGTGCCACAGGCTTCTACTGATACCCATGATCGCTGAGCTGATGTATCCTTACAGATTTAAATGTTCAGCGCACCCAATCTGGTATTTGAATTAAGTTTGGAAGCCAATGATTTGCATAAAACACCAGTTCCTTTTAATTCTTTAGTATTCTGCATTCTTAAAAGGGAAACCTATTCTAGTACCTGTTGTTTTTCTGGGACAGGAAGTAAAGGGATATCTCCCCAATGAGAGCCGGCCAATAAAAGTCTTAACCGTTCCCCTGCTCTATCCAAAAATAAAAAAACAATGTTTAGACTTCACATGCGCTTGCATTGTTCTATTCCTGACCCTACTATGTTTATAAGACCTAGCGTTATCTTCAGGGATTTCTGTAATATAAGACCTACCCCGAAAATAAGACCTAGTTCGGGGTAGGTCTTATATTACAGCAATCTCTGAAGATAGCGCTAGATCTTACTTCCGGGGTAGCTGTACATGTAATTGATTTTTACATGTTAAGAGCGGCCGCAGCTCCCTCCCTGCCCGCACACACGCCCGCCCACACAACACGTCCCCGCCCGCACACCTGTTTGCATCGGAGCGGAGAGCATGACAGCTGCAGACAGGTAAGACATCCCTCGAAAATAAGACCTAATGTCTTTTCATGAAAAAAAAAAAAATAAGACAGTGTCTTATTTTCGGGGAAACACGGTAGTAACTAAACAGAATCCAATTAATTTCAATAGCAAACGTACACTAAAATTACTTAGTGTCAAAATCTGCATAAGCCAATAAAATGTATGCCCTTAGGCAAAAACTGTAGCAGTTTTGGTGTCAAAATAATATATACTGTAATGTGTGATTAGTGCTAAAAAATACCTTGCACTCTTGCCATTGAACACAACTGATCTGAACATGGCGTGCATGCAATAGTTTATATTTATTTTACAATCAAATCCTTTTCTCTTGTATTCAGGAGCATCGTATGGATGAAGGAATTCAAGAGGAAAGAGCAGATGATGTGGCAGATGCGGCTGCCGCAGCTCCCCGTCCAGGAATTGTGGCATCAGCTTGGTCATTTATAACCACCTTCTTCACCTCCCTTATACCTGAGGGACCCCCACAAGTAAACTAGATCTGGGACTGCTAATTGCAGGTTCTTGCAGGAAACCAATATTTCAAATTACACTTGTGCAATCTCAATTCTTGTCCTGTGTTGGATTTTTTTAAAGCAGTATCTCTTGCTTGACTCCCTCAGTATTAATATTTTAAGCACAAAATCAATTTTCTTTGTTTACTTATTTTCTGTAGTCATCTTCTCTTTATCAAAGAGAAATAAAGGTACATGTCTTCCATTATTTGCTTTCGAATGATCAGAAAGTTTCTAGAGTGATACTAGTTGATGTTTGCCTCTTTTTGTTCAATTTTTGAAGTTTAACCACCCTAGATCTTGTCGATACATTTCTTTTGCTTATTGTTCCTCCAGGTGAATCAAGTGACTACACATTTAGTAGAATGCATTGGTAGCTGTGGTGCACGCAAATACATAAGACAGCCTTGCAATTGCATTCTTTTGCTAAGACCTCCTTCTGTGCGGACAGTTTTTTTTTAAGGAGAGGTGATTGCAGCAGGTTTTTTTTTTAAATTAGTCAAGCTTGTATGTAGGAATCAATAATTGCCCACATTGTTTGACTTCAGCTATAAAGATATTGTCATATTTCAATTTCTTTAGTTTAAAAGATGGTAGGAAACTGGACAGGCTATTTATTATCACTTCCTCTTCAATTTAATATTTACTTTTAACAGGCTTTTTTTTTTTTTTGCACGTTTGTCAATATGTCCTTTCTTGTGACAGTTATTACATTTAAAGTTATCATAGTTTTCTGAATCTGTAAGAAATCACAAGGTCAACATTCTAAGGGCCTGTGTTGAGGGAGTTCCTGTACATTAGAACTACTTCTCTCCACATATAAGTCTAAAGGAACAAAACTTTAAACTGCAAAAGCGGGTTAAAGGAGAACTATGAGGTGAGTGATTTTCACTCGACCTCATAGTTCGCGCCAACGTGTGACAATGAAACTGTCCCTCGTCGGCTCAATAGATCGTGAAGTGAGCAAACACTTCTTGATCATGTCCCTGCAGAGAGCCGTGACTGTCACACACAGCTCCCTGCAGGGATTACCCCGCTCCGATCCTCCAGCGCTGACTGGCGGAACAGACGGGGGAGGGGGCGGGTACATCTGGCTCTGCCTCTAGGTAGGCAGAGCCAGCTGTCAATCACGGAGCTGGGCGGATCTCGCCAGTAATGTCGGGATCCATCCCGGCTGCAGCGGTCTCAGTATACCGCGAGCTGCAGCTCGCTGTATACTGAGCTTTGGGTGACGGGAGGAGGCTAGTTTGTGTCCTCCCGTGACCCTTAGGAGAACTATGGGGAAAAGCACTTACCCCATAGTTCTCCTTTTTAAAGCTGGTCAAATACCCTTGTTCCAAATTATTCCAAATAATGTCAGCAATGTTTTCAAAGCGTTTTAAAAGCAAGCTGTATTTGTTTATCAGCAACAACTTCAAAGCCTGTCGACACAGGTCCATAATATTTTAGTAATACCTTTTTATCTATTTATAAAAATATGGTCGCAAGAGCTAGTTTTTGTAAGGTGACAGAAGAACTCCTGTCTAAGTTTTTTTTTTTTTTTTTTTTCCTGTGGGTTGTTTTATTGTATTCCAGCTAGTTTTTGTGTCGCAGAGATATCCTCTCACTTCCTGTTCCAATCACAGTAGTAGTGATAGAAATTCAGTCCCCTCCCTACTGTATACAGAATAAAAAAAAAAAGTCTTGGCTGGAGTTCAGTTTGAAATCCCTTCTTGCAAAAAATATAACGGAAAAGAAAAGTGATGAGCGAAATCATCCAGCAAAAGTAGGAACAAGATTTATTCTAAGAAGATAAGAGTCACTATTTTTCCTTTTAATACGATTTTAATCAAATACACACAATTTTGAATCCACTGGGAAAAGCCTCAACAAGGCAGTACTTGATGGTCTTTGCTTTAAAGTTAGGTAATGTACTTTATTATCGCAAAGAAAATGAACAGTATATTTTTCATTAAATGCTTTAAATACAGTGTTCTTGTGAACATGGTCAACGGTGATATTTCTATGTGTGAGCTGATTGTAAGTCGAATGTATACTGTATAATGGGAGTTGGTATAGTCATGGTTATTTCAAGATGTTTTGCTGGTAGGTAGGACTTTCTCTAGTTTCCAGTATTCTTAAGAATATATATGTATTACAACTTCGGGTGCATTCATTTACTAATTGTTCACTGTCCATTTTAGACATGTTTTATTCATTTTCTTTTTCAGTTGCTACATGCTTCTGAATATTCATGTAAACGTATGATAATCAATGGACTTTACATTAATTCAGAAATTTAGTATTTTAAATCGAACTTGTTGCTAAACCACAGTCCCCCAGAAATTGGGAAATTGAAATTTTGTATGAGTGTCCAGTGTCCTTCACAGTCTTCAGTGGTGCCTCCTATTACTGTGTCCTTCACAGTCTTCAGTGGTGCCTCCCACTAACCTCCACGTTACTACTGTGTCAGCAGGAGGAGCCAATGAGCACCACAGGGGCCAATAATCGGACACTCCTGGAAGTGTCAGTTGTTAAACAGACTCTGGGCAGGGATTCCTCTTCATTCGGGCAGAATTTGGCTGCACAGGCATTTGGGGAAGTAAATGGTTTCTTCTTTGCAGGTCCATCTTTGATGCAAAGTTTTTTTTAGTTTTTTTTTTTTAAGTGACTTATAAAAGTAATTTTAACTTTAGCCCCTCTAAAGTGTTAGGGTTAATATTTGTGTTGGTTTTCATACACTGCCACATATTTCTAGCAGCCATTTTAGGTGTTATCTGCCAATTACTGTCTGAAGCAAAAGCTATCCATGGTGCCATTCTACTAGAATGATGCATGTTGTATCACTAGGATCCCAGCTGTCAGTGTAGGCAATGATTGTTTACCTGCCTCTTTTGTTTCCATGTTTGGAACTCTGTCTTTATGGTCACTAAGACAAGGTTCGAAGACCAGATATTTTAGTTTCTTACTGAAATTACTCAAGTGTTATCAACAAAGTATAATTTTTTCTTGTACATTAGTGTTGCATTAAGCAAGCGTAGCTCCAGTACTGTTCATTATGGGCATTACTTCCATTTATTTATTTATTTTTTTTGATTCTGCCAATTTGGTAGGTTGCGTAAATTTGTTCGTATCTCAGCATCAAAATAATGCACATGTATACTAGTGTAGATATACAAACCGTGATTTATTCAGTCTTGGCTCTTGCTGTAATCCATAACAATTAATCAAACTGTAATTGTGACCGGTTTTTGTAGTAAGAATAACCAAGGTTGGCCGTAGGCCCGATCTGAGATACTAGTGCCGTACTTGGGTCAGGATCAGCCCACTTAAGGTACACTAGGAGGTGAAAAACAGCCCTTATGTCTTTGGAAGTGCTTTTTATTGAACACTGATTATTTTCAGTTTGACGGCTAATTCAAAGGAAAGTAATTAGCTGTGCATATGCTAATTCAGACCATTGAGCTTGTTATACAAAAAAGACAGGCAGGTTCTGGATCCACAGTCGGTGGCCTGCTTGCCATTCTTAGGAGGCTATCTACCGGTCTGTGGCTAGCCAGAAACCCTTTTTTCTTCTGAGTTATGAGTTCTGCACTAATTTGCTCTTTACCCCAAAATGAAGGAATAAAGCAATGTTCCAGTGTAAAAAAGTTCAGAGCTAAAGCCTAATAGATATTAGAAGGAGGTGGGGGGTGCATGCATTATTGTCTGACCATCCGCTTGCAATGGGATCTGCCTGCATCATCATGAAAAAAAGAATGATCTTGTCTTCCTACACTTTCTGTTGATGTGAATTGAGAGGTGAAATACCACTTTTCTCAGGGGGTGGTTTGAGGAAAGTGAATGTTTCCTCCTTCCCCCAAAGCACTGCCTGCCTGGTCAATGTTGGGGACTCCTACAAATATGAGTTCAACATGTGAACTAGCTGTCAGGAATGGATTCTTCCATGCTGGCGATTCCCTAAAGAGAAAAAAAAAAAAAAGCCAGCCCTCTAAAGGTGCATCAGATGGAATGAACCTGCTCTTTCCTCTTGAATTCCTTCATCCATACGATGCTCCTGAATACAAGAGAAAAGGATTTGATTGTAAAATAAATATAAACTATTGCATGCACGCCATGTTCAGATCAGTTGTGTTCAATGGCAAGAGTGCAAGGTATTTTTTAGCACTAATCACACATTACAGTATATATTATTTTGACACCAAAACTGCACTCTACAGCACTCGTTTGCACAACTACAGCACTCGTTTACCTTTAAACATTAAATATTTCTTATTTTTAAACATTCAGAAAAAATTTAAAATTCCAAGCAAGTTGTACATTTACATTATACTTTTTAAATACATTCAAAAAGTATTTTGAATACTGGCCATAGGCAACACTGAATAGGCAGACGTGCAAGCTATTGCCCATTGCGTTAAGATGTTTTAAATCTGACTTTGGGCATATACATAAATAAGCAGATCACCCTTGTGTTCATGTACTTGTACGTTGCTCCAACATTGGCTTATGAGGAGTGGAGTTGTAACCTGTGTGATCACCATTTGCCCTACAACTTATCTGTTGGCAGTGTTTACTGACGCTCATAGACACAAGATCCTCTTCTGTCTGGCCAACAACCAAATCATGTCTATTGCCACCTTTGTAACTGCCGTTTTCATAGACAAAGCAATAGTAAGGTCTTCTATGGGGTTGAAACAAGTCACATGTACAGTAGTATTGATTTCTGTCCTTTAAAGCTGACCTTTACCCATTTCTTTAAAATAACAAACACACCTTTTAGAAATGTTTAGTAATGACAATCTACAAACACAAACTTCTAGATAATTGCCAGCTTTGTATTCTTTGCATTCCTTATTTCTCTTTTCTCCAGTCTTCTGACAGTGACCATGTTTACTAAGTGCAGATTACTAACTCTCCTTTTACTTCCTTGATTTCTGGCACATGTGACCATGCACATCATCTCAGGGGAGGAAAATGCCTTTCCCTGAGATCTTGTGAGATTACAGATGAGATTTCCCAGCAATGCTCTGCTGATGACAATGCAATCCCAGTGTGCATTGCTTTGGCAAACTGAAGTAATTTTGCCTTTCAAAGCAGGAAGTGAATGCTCTGCAAGTGTAAGCATTTCAAAATCACAGCATTTTACACCTGACATGATTATGTTATTAACAATCATATGGGATGCATTGGTAGAATTCGATTTTTGAGTGTAAAGGTGCATTTTAATGCCTTTGTATTAAAACCAGTTTTAAGTTATTTTA